ATTAAAAAAAAAAAAAAACAAATATATTTTGCTAAAAATAAAAAAGTTATTATTGTTGTCTCTCTCTGGATTGTAAACAGCTGTTTTAAGGGTGGATTTTCTTGCGCTCAATGGACCAAGAGAGAAAATCAAGATTTTTGATTAACTTCATCTGTCAGACAGTTCTCTGAGATTATTCATTCAGCTTGGTTATCTATCTACTTATTACGGGTCAATTGTGTTTACAATAATATTTAATGTTTTTTTTACACTTCTTATATAAAAATTTTGACATAAAATATTAATTGATTTTAAAGAAGGCCAAAGGATTTAAAGACACACGCATTTTTTTAAAGAAAATACTCTAAAATACATCTACAAAAAGTGTGAGTGAAATTTTATACATATGTATATATACATATATATTGATATATAGAATATAAAACAAATATAATACAATAAAAATTATGTTTAGATAATCCAAGATATATAAGTATTTAGGCGAAAATGTAATTGAATATAATTTAGGACACAAATAAGGATGTAAAAATAATATGTACATATTGATTAAATTTCTACCTGACATACATATATGATAAATGTGATTCCAAGTGCTTTATACACGCCCTATTGAAACGATAACACCGAATTCGCTAATGTAAATGTATATATATGGACTCCCAAACACATATGTGCTCATATTATATAAAAATATATTTAAAGCTCTGCGAATTTAGAAAAATAAATTCTTCTCCGGTTCTATTGATATATCCTCTACCTAGGAAATATAAAATTAGTGAACGTGCTTCAGTTTGGCCTAGAGATACGTTCAAAATATTCTGGGCATAGCCTGTTCGAGAAATATGTTAGTTTTCAAAGAAACTAAGCTATGATATCTACAATACAAATACACACACACACACACAAACAAAAGARCATGTGACTTCACTCACTTGCCTTTTAGGGGAAAATGAATGAAGGAGCTACAATATATACAAGTTTAGAATCTTCGAATATATTTTAAATACTTGATGTATTCTTAATATAAGTTCTTCTAATCTAAACAAATGTATATCGATTCATTCGAGAACATGTTATCGATCATATGACATATACTTGAATTGTGCATATGTAATTCCAAATATCAAGTATTCAGAGATTCTGAGATCGACGCCTTCAAGGACAGACGTATCGACTGATAAACATAAGCAGTTGATTGGATGACTAGGGTCGTTACTTCTAATCAAGAATGTATGTCAGCCACACTCATTATGTATATATTAAGAAACAAATTATGCTCAAATTCCTAATTTCATTTTTTATGGGCGTTATGACCGTATCCGTTCTATCATACATATATTCTTCTCTTCAAAGTAGTAATTCAATTTAATTCTTTAAATTATATATTCTTGCATATTTAAAGAAGAAAATTTTCTAATATACATTTTTTCACGTATTTTTTCTTAATAGGCTATAAAAATGTTACCAAATAAAGCAATACCAATTATTATATTTAATTAAATGTAATTATAAATATTACAAATATAAATTTGAAGTATACATTGTGGTGAATCGAAATAATAGCAATGAAGTTAACATCTCAAGAAAGCATCAAAGCTTGGATACTATCAGCTTTGATGGTACACGGCGCTGTTGCAGGCAATCCGGATGCTAAACGCCTTTACGATGATCTCTTAAGTAACTACAACAAACTAGTACGCCCAGTGGTTAATACTACAGATGTCCTCAAAGTTTGTATAAAACTTAAGCTTTCGCAGCTGATAGATGTTGTAAGTATTCTATTTATACATCCCACACTTTATCAATATGAGTTTTTGAATTTCACAATTCACACATAAAATATAGAATACTATTATTAATATTTAACGTGGGAAACAGATCGGTAATAATCTGATCCCATCAAAGTGTCGTACTTCACTGGAATATGATTGGTGTTTGAGCGAATTCCCTATGTACCTTATAGATGTCATTGTTCATTCTATAAATTTGTTCACAATGTGTCAAATTTCTAACCAAATTAGTTCTCAAATATGACGGACCTATTATTATTATTATCTATGTATTACCATATTCTTTAATCTGTTTATTAATCAAATTTTCTCCTATTTTAGAATCTTAAAAACCAGATCATGACTACGAATCTTTGGGTGGAACAGGTGAGAATATAAAACTATTTCTAACATATTGATACATCGTTAAGAACAGATAAATGTATATGTGGGAGAGCAAGCTGAGGTAAGAGATTTTATAAAAGAGACCGGTGACATGGCTCCATCTCATTCGTCTTATAATAGTCATATCTTAGCTTAGATCGCTTAGAGTGCCATACATAGAATATGAAATTAAATAAGAGGCATTCTCCGTCATGTTTTGTACATTGACTGACCTATTATTAAAAGTAAAACATCTTCATTGAGAGTAAAACATTTAATATATATACTTATTATGTGTATTTAGTATGCTCATATTGTATTTATATACAATGTGAGTTATTGTTACATATAGCTAAACATAAATTATATTTATTTCAGTCATGGTACGACTACAAATTAAGGTGGGAGCCCAAAGAATATGGGGGAGTTCATATGCTACACGTTCCATCCGATCACATTTGGAGGCCAGATATTGTACTTTATAATAAGTAAGTAACAAGATAGCAAACTGACAACGGCTTAATATTTCAGTGGCTGTAATATATATATA